TAGCTGTTTAGAACTAGAGTGTGCTATTTTTGTGTTTTTCTGATGTGTGGTGCTAGATAAGTTACTTTTGTGAACAAAAGCAAACAAAAACCCCTTTTATTCCTAGACAATACCACCTTTGGGTCTTGTTAATTTCACTGAGTATAACTATATATAAATATATATATATTTGTGTATATATATATATACACCTACATATGCCCAACACGTACCTGTATCAGCGTACAAGATTTGGGACATGGTTCTCTCTTTAAACGCATAGTGTCATTATATAAATTATTCTATAGTATATTTAATAAGGAGAAAATTACTTCACCGGTACAGATACTTGATATCAAATGTAGAATTTTTTTCTACATTATTAACATTAATAAAAATGTTCTGTCCAGTTTGTTATCTTTTCGGTTACTAAAGCAGTCTGCCTGTGTTGTATCAGAAAAAACAAAAGCATCAAATCTACAAGAATAAAGCATTTACAGTATGCTGTCTGTCTGAAAGGGAGGTAGTTCTTTGGCTGCTCGGAGAGTACTATCTGGTTGTGGCATCTGAGATTGATTGGTGACGCTCTGATGGGTGCCTTCCTCCCTCTTCACTTTAAATAGGATCTGCACACACTCAAACTGTGGATGTCACTAGGCCATGCCTACACGCTTAACTCCAGTTACTGTAAATAGGAATTTTCTGTAAATCTGCCGTGACAGATTGATGGCTAAATTCGGTCCTTGGGTATGCTTTATAAATCATGCATACATATCTGAGGTCAGCCATTAGCAACTGAAGTTAACTAAGAAGTGGAATTTGCAACATTCTGTCAGGTCTGGGGGTTTTGTTTTTATTTGTCATGTATACCTTAATTTACATAGTCACGTACCCTTAAAATTATTCCTGTCCCTTGTTCCTTTCATTCTAGATACTGTTTTTGTGTTAATTCTTAAAAACTGATGGATATCAAATATCTAACTAAGGAGGTAATTAACCTTTTAAATATTTATTAGAATTTTTCTGTAATATTACTGAATTTATAAGATCTTTAGCAAAGATTTTTGAGCAATTTATTAAATACAATTGTTTCTGTTTACTGCACTTTTTGATAATAGAAGGTAGTGAATTTTAAAGCCATGATTCTTGGCTTCCATGCACTGCTTTTATACCCTCAATTCAAGGAATATATATATATAAATAATTTTTTTTAAACAGCAAACATACTGTTGTCCTAAAAATAAAATACAAACTTTACTGCACCATGGGTATATTTTCATAAGTGGAATGTTTAATTGCAAACACTATCAGGATAATTATAAAAACCTCTTGAAGCTACAATCTTATTTAAATATAAGCCATGACAATTTTGTTTTCCCTTGTTGATTTAAGTCACCTTTTGATATTTTAAAAAAGAAAAGGAGTCGCACTTAAATTTGTATTTGCTAACTTACACGTAATGCTAGGAACAAGTTCTTCCTATTATTTTAATTTTAATAGTTTGATATCTTTATGCAAAATCATTTGGTTAACATATTTTCCCTGTTGACTAAATGTTCAACGTAACAAAACCAGAATAAATACTGATTTCAAATACATGTCAGTTTGAGGATTAAGCACATAAACTTCAGAAACCTCGTTGAGTGATATGCTCAGATTTCTGTAAATACACACAACTTTAAATGAAATTATACTGTACATGTAAATGTATGCTGTCTGTTATGTGTACAGTATGTACAAATTCCTTTTCTAGCCACCATAAAACGTAAGCCATCAAGAGGAATACTAAAGTGGTATTGTACTAAACCTTTGCTAATGATCTTTACCCAGTCACTTAACTTCTCACTTTCATGGACCTTTCCAACTCACTCTTATGATAGCCTGCTTATATTCCAGTTTGTTATTTTACTCAGTCCCGATAAAAAAAGTATTTTGATTCATTTTGTAAATACGACTGTAAAAATAAGAGATTTAATGTTGTCTTTTAAATACTCCAATTTTCATTCTAATATGAATGTTGTTATATTGTACTTAGAAACTGTACCTTTAATATTACATTACCTTTATTAAGTGCATTGAACACATCGATTTTAGATGTGCTTTATGTACTGTTATCCTGTAATAAAACTTCAGCTTCTAATGGAAAAATCTGTCTTGCCTTTTTTTTTTTTTTTTTTTTTTTTTTTTTTTTTTTTTTTTTTATTGTCAGTAGCACCTTTTTGTTCTTCTGAATCTTGACGTGTGTTAGGTTCAGTCTTTAAGGAATCCACCCTTACAAAATGAGCCATGATTCTTGGCACATATGTCAGTTTTTTGTTAGGTAAATAAAGTAATGTTTGACAGCAAGGAAATGAGAAGATTCCCAAACACCTTGTAAGTTCCCCTTTTGGCCAAGAAGAGTGTAAACATCCTCAGAATTACCTTGGATCAATCCAGTTTCCTTCTCTTTGAAAATGTCATCTTGTTCTACATCAGAGTACATTGTGTCAAGCGCACAATAGAAGAAATTTGTCTTAGAATATTCCCAGTGAATTTGGAGATGGTGCTCTGGGCTAGATTTGAGAGGATTCAGTTAAAATTTGCATGTAATTTAGGCATCAAAATTCAGAGTTGCAAGCCTCCTCTGGTGTGCTAACCACCTAAATGTCAGCAGTACCTATGGTTTCTATCTTAAGATTTTGTACATGTAAAATTCTACTTAGACTTCTACCCAAAAACACTTCATCTTGACAGAGCTTTAACAGCTCAGTATTAGGTTGCCGGCCTGCGATCCAGAATTAGGTGTTAGCTTTCTGCTTTGAAGCACTAAATCTGGAAGAAGCCATTGCCTACTGATCAAGTCAGGAAAGTTATGGAAGCCATAGCTTTCCTAGAACTGTAGTGCCATTCGTTCTACAGCAGCTTCATGACATAAGCACTAAAACAGTGAAAGTCCAGGTTTAATTTTCTCACCCTCAAGAAAGGATTCCTCCCCAATCTCTCAATTCACAGGAGAGGTCCTAACCTTCAGAAAATTCGACAGCTGTTCAAAATAAAACAGAGGAATAAGAGACAAATCAGGGACTCCCTTGCTTGCCAATAAGGAAAGCAGAACCAGGGGTTAGAATGTGGTTTTTGATCCCCAGTATATGTCACAAAATCACAGTATGGGTTTGGCTGGTAGGGACCTCTGCAGGTCAGATCATCTGGAGATCCACCTCCTGCTCAAACAGGGCCATCCCTGAGTAGCTTTCTCAGAACCAGGTCCAGGTTCATACTACATACTGGGCTACAGCTTGATACATCCTCACTAGATAAAGAGAAGGGGAAGGTTCCGATTTCCCTGATTTCTGAGTATCTCCAAGGAGGAGACTCTATAACCTCTCTGGATAACCTGTATCAGTGCTAGGTCACCCTCACAGCAAGAAATTGTTTCCTGATGTTAATGCTTATGTCACAGAAGTACAAAAATCACATGTAGGAAGCAGATAACTTCAATTGAAAAATGGACAGAATTTAGGAAGATGGTAGACTAAAGTTGGATTTAACGACACATTCACAAGCTGGATAAGTCTTCTAATTCTGCTATGTAAACTTCACCGTACCTCAGCTCTGAAGAAAGATTATTCCTTCTAAGGCTAACTCCATGACTGGGCTCTTGGCGATTCTGTTTTTATCTCCAGTGGGAGATAAAAACCTTTCTGCCTCTGTCTGAGAGAAACAAACAAACAAAAGAACTGAAATTAGAGTGTCCTTGCAAGCTAGGTAGAGACTCTCTGGTTGGTGGCTTTGGACACAGAATCATAAAACTACAGTGTCTTGACTTTGAAGGCACCTTAAAGGACCACATAGTTCCTACCATCTGTCATGTGTAGGGACACATCCCACTAGATCTGCCAAAAGCCCCACCCAGCCTGGCCTTGAATACCTCCAGGGAAGGGGCATTCAGCTCCTCTGGACAGCCTGTGTCACAACCTCACAGCCCTCTTTTTTATGTCTCATCTACATCTATTCAGTTTAAAGCCATTATGCCTTGTCCTTTCACTACACTCTTTGACAAAGCGCCCCTCCACAGCTTGCCTAGTGGTTCTTTTAGGTACTAGAAGACTGTAAGGTCTGCTTGGAATCTTCTCTTGGCTGAACAACCCCAACTCTCTCAGCCCCTCTCTTCACCAGAAAGGTGCTCCAGCCGAACAACTATCCTTACGGCTCTCCTCTCAACTTATTCCAAGAGCTCCATGTGCTTGTGCTGGGGGCCCAGATCTGAATGAAGTATTCTAAGTAACCTTGAATTTCAGTATCTTCACGTATTAGCATGCAGTCCCCAGTTTTAGTTACAGGACTGGATGCAGTGAATGCTTCAATGCTTTCATTCTGCAATACCCCAAACCCTTATTTCTCCATCTGTTGGGCTGAAAAGGGGATCACCTTCTCTTATAATGCTACAGGTTTCCATTATCTGAACCTACAGATAGACAATGTATAAATTCCACATTTTACCACACTGGAAAGCCTTATCATCAGAAAGAAGAAAAAAAAAAGAAGAAAAAAAAAGTTGATTTTTTGTGGCTCTGCCCTGATGGTAACTATCGGGAAGCAAGCCAAGGAACTGAAAGCCCACGGGGAAAGAAGAGAGAAACTGGGAAGTGCAGCTACCCTGAGACAGCCCTCACACACAGTCCCAACCCGAGGGCTAACCGCTCTGCGGAGCCCAGCCCGGCTTCTCAACACACCCAGGGCGGGAACAGGCGCCGCGAGGCACATGACATCTGGTCAGGACCACACCTTAGCAAAGCGTAAGAGTCGGTGCCGAAAGGCCTTAGACAGACTTCATCACCCCGAGGTAAAGGCGAACAGGCTAGGGTGAACAAGACAGAACGCCTCAAGCCGCCCTACGCAGCTTCGCCTCCATGCTGCAGCCCACCACAAGATGGCCACCCGCAGCGCCTCCAGCAACCGCTCGAGCCGTGCAGCCATTGGCTGGCTCACAGCATCAGCTCCCGCGCGCCTCCACGCTGATTGGCCAAGGCCGTGAGGGCCGGCCCGCCCGGCAGCGAGGTGATGAACCGGCGGGTCCTTTCCCTGCGAGGCGCTCTAAGATGGCGGCTGAAGGACAGCTATTGAGTTGGTGAGTGCAGTCCTGCTCTCTCCCTGTAGCTGAGCAGAGGTGCATCTGAGGAGCGGAGGGCGGGAAAATACCCCACGGGTCTCAATGCCGCTGCTCTGTGCGCATGCGCGGGGGAAGGAGAGAGCGGGGCGGGCCTGGGTTCTTGTGTCCGCTCCGCCCCGCCGCTGGGCTGGAGGTGGGGGCTGCGCGGTGCCATTTTGTGCCGCTCTGGAGGGAGAGGGGGAGTGGGAGTCGCGGCTTCGCTGAGGGGAGGTGGCTGCCTTCGTTGTTCAGTGCTGATAGCGCTCGTTTCGTTCTCGAAAAGAATAAACTTTAAAAAAAAAAAAAAAAAAGCCTAGATGAAGTGCTTTTGAGTTCATCTCCGAAGGCGACGGAAATAAATCTTTCTTAGCACCCTTCAGAGTAGCTTAGTTGACCTTGTAGGAAGGGCTGCTTCCCGTGGAAAAACGGCCGTTCAGGGGCTGTGTGGAAAGCAGTCTCCGGAGTTGCGTTCTGCCCGCAGTTGCGGTCGCTGTGTGTGGGCTGGTGCCATCTGGGAGCTGAGGGCTCAAACTGCGCCTCTGCCACGGACCTGACACCGAGTTAATCTTCTGGCGCTGTGGAACGAGTGCTTATCTTAGTGTTGAAAACCAGCGGGGTGTTAGGTGTGGTATAAATACATTCTGTGAGAAGAAATGGGAAAACGCTGTAGTGATGTGCGCTGATTTTTTATTTTTTTGTAATTTTTTTTTTGTAATTAATACTGCTCTTTGTTTCTTGGGATCAGATTTTTGTCTTTAAATGTTACATATCACAGCGTTCTTTTTATCAACAGGGATGTTTCACCCAAAAATGGCAAAGAAGTGTTTTTCTCACGTGAAACGTATGAAAAATATTCCCTGGCTCCGAGCCTCTTGGAACTGTGGAATTTATCGAACAGGTACATTCTGTTACGACTGGGTGCTGTTTGTCATTTCTCTCTTGGTACACACGTGCAGTTACTGCCTGGCAGACAGCTGCGTGCTGCCCAGTGAGGAGTGCCTTGTAGCGGCTGCTCTGTGCCTTACCCGTGAGGTGCCTCAGGAAGCAGAGGGAGTTTAGGTTGGGACCTGTGGTCTTTTCTCTCTTTTGAGAGATGGAGCTTTTCTTTGTGGGGATTTGTTTTGTTCAGGGGAGGGAGGGTTGTGTTGAGTTTTTTGTGGCCGTTTGGTGTCTTTTTTTTTTTTTTTTGCTTGGTTTTGCAGACCAAAAAGTTATAAAGCACTTAGTCCTCACAAAGATTCTGTAACCTGTGAACCAAAACCCAGTCTCATGTGTTTATCTCCTGCTGTTGGTCTCTTGTGATCTCACTTTGTACCAGGCTGATGGTACTGTACACAGAAATCCTTTTTACTTGTATTTTTGGAAGTAGCCAACACTATTTACGTAGAATCAATAGCTGCCCTGGAGTTGCACTTAGCTTCTTGGCTACTCAAGGAATTGTATGGAGTGTTAGACGAGCAATAGGAGCTGAAATGCTGTGCACACAAATCATTTTGGCATAGATGGTACTGCCTGCACACTTCTGATGCCTTTTATTTTAAATTGAGGAAATAGAGTCAACTTTTTTTTGGCATGATGAAAGGCACAGGACTCACACTGCAAGATTTCAATAGCTGGAATATTATATGATATTTAGGCTTTGTATTTTTTTCTAAATTTTTTTTTTTTAATCTCCTTTCAGCTGTTAAGGGTTTCTGGAGTAGGTATGACTATACTTAGGAGTGAGATTACGTTCAGTTCTGTTGGATAGAAGTGAGCTTATAGCCAGAAAGAGATTGCAACAATAACATAAGGATATCAGTGGGTTGGGTTGGGTTGAGTGGCCATCAGGAAGAGGAAAAGAAATGTAACCTGTTGGTGCAAATGTGGACGTGAGAGCTGGAAAAAACATGTCAATTTGTATATTGAGATTTGTGATAAATATTTAGTAACATATATGTTCACTCACCATAGAAGCTGTGAAGGCAGGTTGCTGATAAAATGAAGGGGGAAAATTTAAGCCGTCAGCTCAAATAAAGTATAATGCTGTAAATGTGGACAGAAAAGCTCTGTCAGATTATTTTTGTTTGCACCCTGATGAAGACTGTGACAGCACTGCATACTGAAATGATCTTGATGTGCTGCCATTTCATTCGTTGCTGAATACAGCCAATTTAAGCTGCTAGAATTTCTTGACATTCTAACATTGGCGTATCTGAGTCAGCATCTTGTTGCTGCTGCAGCTTAATTAAATTTGCCAGGTTGTGCCATAGGGATGGACATATTCTCATATTCAGAGAGACAGCTGTGAAGTATTATTAAGAACTGTAAATGTGATACTATTGGGTTTGAATAACACTTGAGATGTTTTCTCCTGCTGAAATTGTATTTTAAAAATATGTTTTTTCCAGGGTCAACAGTTAATGTTCATTTTGTTTACCTTCAATATCTTATTTCTGGAAAACACTTCAAATAGATTAGGATAGAGATGGCCTTCACCTACTGGAGTCATTATAAGAACCAGCTTTTTGATGTTACTGCTTTGTTTTTGTTAGGGCCATTAGTATTTCTTACTTTAGCCGAATGTAATTTCTAGCCACTGATTTCCGTCAGTGTTCAGAAATGAAAATGAAACTTGTATACCCTATTCTTGGGAAAAATTTTCACTGAAATCTGGGATTCCTGTCATTAAAATGAAGAACTTTTCTTTTACTTCTTTTGCAGTAAAAGAAAAGCTTTTTGTATTTAGTTTTTCTCCTGTATTATCATAAATTTTACTCATAAGATAGACCTTCCCAAGTGCAATTTTTTTCTAAATACCCACCATCAGCTAATGAGGAAATGTTGAAACTGTACCTTTTCACTGTTAATGTGTTTTTCCAGAGCACTCCATCAGTTTTGAATGTACCTTTTTGCCTCAATATCCATTATGTAAATGAATATGTGCGTTTATTTTTGTTTTTAATTGAAATCAGTAGCAAAGCTGCTGTTGGTTCTAAAAGTAAGTTTGGCTCACATGAAGTTTCGGAATAGGAAAATTCTTAGAGTGTGGGCTGTAAGTTGGGGTGGTAGAGTGCATTTTGCTGAATTAGAAATTTACAGTTTTGAGACTACCTTTATCATATAGTTCTGGCAGATACTATTTTCTAGGTAAAAGTATGTCAGTTCTTTCACTTGTTACTTTTCTTTCAGATTGGCAAAGAAAGATGTGGAGATATTGGCAAATTCTTCAGAAAACAAACAGATTGGTAACATACAGGCTACAAATGCAGTTGGGGTGGTGACTAAAACCACAACTGGTGATCATCCTTTTCCAGAACCTAGACTTCCCTATCCATTTACCTCCTGTCTGACTGAGAAGGAGCAGAAAACATATTTATATCTGATGACTAAGTTCTCAAAAACACCAAATCATTTTCCTCTCAATGCCGCAAGTCAAAGAGAGTTGCTGACGTACCTGGTAAGTGTAAATGTGTGTATATACACATAGGAATATCACAGAGGAGAGTTGTACAACTTCTTCAGCTTTGAAGAGCAAACAAAAATGTAGCAGAAATATTTTCAAATTCTATTTGTCTGAACCTCCTTTTAACCTGTATATTTTGATGCAGTTTTTGTCAACACCCTGTATTCAGAACTTTCTTCATCAGCATGTGAGAAAACCTGCATGTTGACCTTAGATGCTTGCCACATTCAGACTTTTTGCAGTAGAAATGCTCAAGTCCACACTTACTGCTCGGTCAGCAATGTGTAAATACTTTGTTTCATGTATGTTTTATTTTATCTGAATCCTGTATATGGTAAATGTTTTCGAACTGCACTACTGTGCAGTGCATCATTATTAATGCCACTTCCTTTGTTCTGCACTGTATCACTGCGAGTGTCTTTTCTAAGCAGATCAATACCTACTGCACTGCTGTTACTTACAACGTAATGCTTATCAAGTCAGAGCTCAGATACCTTTGTCATTCTATCATGTAAACTTGCTCCACCAGTGTTCTCTAATTCTGTTTTGTTTAAACCACCTATGCATGGTCGAAATAAGCCTGCTTGGTATTTAGAGAACGCAGACCTAATGTTGCAGAGTTTCTTTTTTACTTAAGTGAAACTAAATGCATGGGAAGACTTGCCAGATATCAGCAAGTGGAAGCCGTGCCCTTCCTCATACCATCACCTGTGCTACATCTCTGGAGATTTTGCTGTTCACACATACCTAGCCTAGGATTCCATTGTGTCTTAGAAATGAGTTTGTTTGTTTTTTTTTTTCTCCCTGCAGAAAATGAAAGAAGTAGTAAACAGTGAGGTTGCAGAATTTATGAAGTTCGCCCAAAATGCTGCGAAGAGCTGTACTCAGGACTATGATTGTATCTCTGAAGATGCTCTGCTTTATACTGAGGTAATTACTGATGCTGTGTTTAATTCTGCTTTTCAGCAATGATATTGAAATTGTGATGAAGTTGCATACACACTGCTTGTGGGATGCAGTTTCCCAGAGCTGCTGATTTGAAGTTGGAGCGAGACATGAAAGGTTGCTGTTCTACTGATGCTGTCCAGCACAGCCTGGTCCACAGTTTGGGGCAGTAACACAGGATATGAGTAAGGTTGTTGAATACAACACAGTATGAAGATAGTCAGCATTACAGTGCAGGAGATCTTTATATTTGTGAAGGAAGAAATTACACTGTAAGTGTGTGTTTATATTGACAAGTTGATACTGAATGTATGCTACTGGGGCATATACTGAGCAAAACATGAAGTATGTTGCAAAGTCACTTTAATCAGAGGTTAATCAGGCTGTAATCATAGCTGTCTGGAAATTTGTACTGTGTTAAATCACCAGTTTGATGATTGTGCAATTGAACACAAATGTAATTTATCTGTCTTTCTTTGTTTGATACATTTTGGGTAAGAAATTCCAGAATGCAGGTTTGATCAGCTTTCACATTACTGAGTTGACTTGCTGACTTGCTGTTGATTTTTTTTTTTTATTTATTTTTTTTAGTGCAGTGTGATGCCTTATTTAAAGTGTTGTAGTTAAGTACTTTCTGCTAAAATTCCTGTCTCTTTTAGTAAGTGCCATAACACTTCCTACAACAGATTAAAACAGGAATGCTTTCTGACAGGAAAGCAAGTTGGAATACATATAAATCTTTCTATGTCCTTACCTTTATAGCTTTTTCCCAGGCTGGTATAAAATTAGGTAGTGAGTAATACAAAGAACCAGTTTTCCCTGTAAAAATAAGGAAAAATTAAGCAACGGCAACAAAAAAAACCCTGAAAGCCAAATAATGACCTTTTCTAACACAATTCAGAGTACTGAATTTAGTGGGAGTTTTTTTGTTTGCTTTTTGTTTTTGTTTTTGTTTTTTTTTTAACTGATTTAAGCCTGCATGCATATATTGTAGTCTTGCCTGTGGAGGGCTGATGGGAATTCAGAATGTGTTTCAGTTCTGATACCAGTGATTGTAAGATTGTTGCGGGGTTATATTGGTTGAACAAGTATGTGATCTGCTAAATGTTTCTGTATTCTTTACAGGAAGTAAAGCTAATGTAACTATTGCAGATGCAGAAAATAAAGATATTCAAGTTCTTATGAAATATACAAATGCTTTTTTTTTTGTTTTGTTTGTTTCTGTTAGGAATTATTCAGGGCTTGTATTGGACATGTGAAAAAGTATCCTGAGTTTTACACATTACATGAGATAATGAGCATCATGGGAGGAAAATTTAACACGCAATTGACCTTTAAGCTGGAAAAAAATCTTCTTGTAATGGTAATATCCTATGTACACTTATTCTTCTGGTGTTATTCTCAAATAGGTAGAACTATACACAGATCATATTATGCAAGGATTTAAATTTTATAAGCATTATTTAGTTCTTGGGTTAGAGGGTTGTAATCCACAGTGAAAACATTTCAGTAAAACTAATGGAGTTATTCTGGCAGAGAGGCTGTTAATTATTGTGTGCTCCCTAAAAATGTGATGTTAATAGTACTTCTTTAATTCCTGACGTAACACTAACGTGCACCTCCATAAGTTCTTAATAACTTTCATCACAAAAAGTGGAATGTTGGGTCATCATGATTTCATTTAATATTGTTTCCTGGTCCTGCTTGATTTTCTTCAAGGGTACAGCAAGATATGCTAAGACAGCATTCCCTACCATGCCTGTTCAGCTCTGCACAGATTATAAAACCGTTACATCTATTATAACTCCAGAAAAAAAGGCTTCTCTTATCCACAATGTAAGTAGCATTTTTATTGTCATCTTTATGGCACATATTGGAGAAAAGAACCATTTCATTTCTGTGGCTGCATAATTTCATCATTTTGATCTTAATCTTACACATCTTGTGGTGTGGTGGTGAACACTGTGTCGTTGTTTGTGTAGTATTTAATGTACAGCAGTCATACTGCCTTCTTCCAAAATTGGTTTATCACAATTGTTACGCTGGTGCATCATGGTCGAGAAATATTTTAGGCTCCTCAGTTTTTTGAAGAGTGAGTGAGGTGTCCCTTATCTAACTGTCGCTTTTGCTAAGCAATATAAATTGCATTCCTGAGTTGAGCAATTCTTAGATTCCATTCTACCTCACTGTTAAATACCCAGTGTTGCTGTTTGTGTTGAGAAATGGATTTGTTTTGCTCATTCTGCAGAACTTGTTTTTTGACTATTTATTTCAGATAGTTTGCTGTGCACTTATTTGAGGAGTTTGTTTCTATATCAGAAACCAACCTATCAACAGAGGTATTATGACTGCAAAGAAGTTTGTTGGTTAAGAAAGCAGTAGAGATGACACAGGAAAATAATATTCCACAAAAGCTGTTGGATCTGTAAAATATGAGATCTGCTCTGAAAGTAGTGCTTCCTATTTTATTATCTTGCCTCACAATGTCAGAGGTGGATATTGGTGGTATGGCAGTACAGGCTGAACCTTCCTTCCAACATTCTGTTACGTTTTGTGGCTGTGTGACAAATGGCAGCACAGGGACAGTCTGACAGGATGGCATCTGACGTGGAAGTGCGTGTTAAGCAAAGGTGTAGAACTGAATTCCTCCCTGGGGAAAAAAATGGCACCCATTGACCTTCATTGACAATTGCTGAATGTTCATAGAGACCAACCAGTGGATGTGAGCACAATGAGGCAGTAGGTGTTTCTGCCATGGTAACAGCAACATGAAAGATGAACTCCGTTCCAGACAGCCATGCCTGGAGAATGACATGCAGGCTCTTCTCTGTGGCTGGCAAAAATGCATAGCTAGCGGTGGTCACTATGTTGAAAAAGGGTGTTTGCTGTAGCAGAGTGTTTGTTCTATCATGTAGTGCTATTGTGCTATTTATATCTGTGTAATTTTCATGGAAATAAATAGGGGGCATTACTTTCAGAGCAATTTCTCATGTTGTCTCAGGTGAACAAAGAAAGAGCACTGCTAGATTTTCTTACTTACCTTTCGTGGCCCTTAATGCTCCCAAACATCCAGTATCTCCATGGTTCTTACTGGTTTTCTCCCACCTAATGAATATGCCCAACCTTCTTTTTTCCTGGAAACTCATAATTTTTTATACTTCTTTTGTTTCAATTCTGAATTTGTTTTCTTCGTGTTTTTATATTTGCTTTGACATTCTTTACAGGCAGTCTGCATTGAAACAAATGTGCAGTTTTAATCATACTTTAATGTTAGGCTGCTCCTTGATGCTATTACTTGTAAGAGCATCTGAGATACACGTGTGAGTGAATGTGTTGCTTTTTTCTTTTGCATTGCACTCCCTTATGTCACTACCCCTTTGTTTTTGTTTGACCTAATAATTCAATTTATTAGGAATTAATAGAAAGGTAGAAGGCAAGATATGTTTTCTTGTGCTACAAGGTAGAGGTGTAGGATTCAGCTAAAACTGCAAAGCTGTTTGCTTTGATTTTGAAGCCTGGCACAGTGGTGGTAGTTGGGTGTCTGAATTAGCTCCACAGCTGCATGTTTGTTGGTTTGTTTACAGATTTAAATTACCTGTCTTACCTGAAAACCTTTAAAAATCTACCTTCTTTTGTTGTTTAGGATATTAGTTCAGATTCAAATGCAGAAAAGCTTGCTTTGAAATACTCCCCTCAAGTTGTTCTAAGTAATCAGTCATTATTTACATTGCTGAATAATCATGGATTAAACTACAAGGAACAGTGGGAAATTCCAGTTTGTGTTAAGATGATCCCTGTTGCAGGTATAGTATATTTTTTGCTATAAAAACTACATTTTTGTCCAGGAAGTTCTTGATATTTTTTCATAATCCCTTTTCATCTGACAGAAGGACAGAAAGTTAGTAAATCAAGCAAGATCAACTGAGAAAAAGGAGAAGAGTCTAGATTTGTTCACACGGTAAAATAATTTAACTTTGATTTGATTTAAAGGGGAAAAAAAAAAACCCAGACCTGAAGTTAGTTAAAATCATAGTTGTCATTACAAATTAGGGTTCTTAGCATTTCTTGAGAAGTTGCCCCCTAGAATGCAGGAGTGAGTTTCTCGAGTACTTCCATGGTTTTTAGTTTAAATAATCAAACAAAATAATAAAATCTGACATCATAAGGGACAGAAATCCAAAATAAATGATTTTTATTGGATAATGAGTCCAAGGCCTTTGTTTTTGAAGAACTGTGTTTATTTTAATTTCAGCTATCACAGAAATGAAGGTTAAAAATCCACCGGTATAGTATTCCTTCTGCTCTCAAGGAGGAAAGCTAATAGCAAGGTCATTTCATAGTTCTCTGCACCTTGTCCTACCTTGTTACTGAGAATAGCAACAGCCTCTAGAGATACTGCCAGTAACATTGAGTTTGGAGATGCTCAGTTATTTTCCACTTGGAAAAAAGCAAAGTCAGTTAAATGTCCTTTTTGCTTTCTAAAACAGGAAACTACTTGGGAAGAAAATAACTGCATGTGACTTCTGCAATTAAAAGAACCAATTTCCATCATTGTTTAATGAATGTTCATGGAGTACGGCCTTTTTCCTAATTAGCAGAAAAAATGTTTTCAGTAAATTGATTAACTCATCTGAATACTGTCCCATCAGTAATTTGCGTATAGATTTCCCTTCTCATTGTCTTTTTTTAGCTAGTTGAATTACAGTGGAGGCTGTCTTGAAATGTCAATGTTGTGTGCATCACACACAGATCTGTATGGCAAACTTTTAGGTAGTAGTTGACAAATATCTGCAAGTCTTAGAAATTCTGATCTTTCTCTACATCAAATTGAAGAACTTTGTGCAATGTTGTGCGTGGCTCCTTTCCTGCCACCTTTATAGTTTTCAGATTTAATTTTTTGCTTCAAAGTTAACAGTCAAAGAGTCACATGAAGTACATTGGCAATACAGCGCTGCGTAAGGATTTTCTCCTGTCCACCCTTAGCTCCCACCACTTCAACCCACCTCTTGCATTAATATATTTTTCTTCCTCACTCAGATTTTTCTAAAGCAGAGATAAGGTGGCCCACACGTTCAGAGTGAGCCGTTGATTTCTATATCACATTGGCCAGAGTGTCATTGTTGTTTTTTGGTGAATTTAATTATGATTCATGTTTAAGTTATAAACAGCAGTGAGGGAGGCAAAAGTGCCCTAACTTAGTTACTGATCAGAAAGAAATACAAACTTCAGCCATCGCTTTTGGGCAATGAATCTTTAAAAGAAAATAACAGTCCCCAAGTCAGATTTACTGAGGTTAATGTGTACAGAACAGAGGAAGAAGAAAATCTTTTTGGAAAATAGGGTACATTTTATTTTCATAATGCCATGTGAGAAATGTTGAATCCTTAGTTCTTTAGGAATTCCTTATGTAGTGTGACATTTAAAATCTGATGAATTGTCAGTGTGTTGTGTGTTGGTGCTTCAGGATCATAATTCAAACTAGCTGGACATACTTCTCTGATAGTGAATGAGAGCATGGTTTTTCATCTGTTTGCAAATGTGGAATGGATTGTAATATGTTTGGAAGCTGAAAGATTTATGGCGTAAATTCTAAAGTGATATTCTTTCTTTCATTTAATATGCATTTCCTTTCTTGAGAAGATAACAAAGCAGCTAAAGTGGTTTTTGTTGACTCACCTCTCCTGAAAAAGGAAATGACAATAAGAGAGAGGAACCAAATATTCCATGAAATTCCTGCAGACTTCCTAGCAACTAAAAAGTCTTACATTGCGATTTCCGATGTTTCGATGGACAAACCAGATGAGGACAATCTGTTTCAGTGGGATGTACGTAGCTTCACTTCTTTTTTGGAGGGGGGGGGGGGGGAATACTGTGTTTTAAGCTACTTGTGTGATAATGGAGGAAAAATTAGGTCTCCTGTTTTAACTACTGGGCTTCAGGCACCGTCTGTGAGGATGTCTGTCCGGTTCCTCTAAGTGCTTCTATTGTATCTTCAATTCAGCTTTAATGTTTATTTCATTAAAATGTGTTTTAATGGGTTTATTTAGGCGCAACAAGCTTTATGGACTTTATTTCTGTTTTGAAAGACCTTTTAATACCTACAATCTGAGAACATTTCACATGAAACAGAAGGAATTTGGTTCACTAGCTGCCCCTCTCACTCAACAGTGAAAATTTGGATCCTAGAACAGTTTTCAGGTTTCCCCTTTGGTAGTGTCTCATTTGTCATTAATGCATTCTATTTCTTGGCTTTTTTGATTGTGCAATATTTATTTTTTCTCCCTATGTTAAGGTGTCTGCTGATACCTACCAGTGCAGGAAGATTCCATTTACAGATGATGCAGGGATGGATTTTGATGATGATTTTACAGAACTGGAAACCTTTGGAGCAGCTGTCAAACTTTCAAGGACTTCTAAAACAGAAAACACTTGTTCAGTTGGTAACACTGATAAAGTGTTGTCATGTGACTTACAACCAGAAAAAAAACTGACATCTACCACAAACAGTGAAGCTCCAGAGAGAATCCCTCCTCTTTCTGAGCAGGGATTTTCAGCGTATTCCAGATTGCAGCTTCCATCATGTGGCAATGTATGCTTCAGCCCTGAAGGAAATTGGTCTCATAAAAACTTTCATTCTGAGGAGGTGGAGTTGAAGAAAGCACAGGATGTCATGACCAAAAAAGTATCAGACAGTGAAACTAATACTTTATATCCTGCTGTAAGTTGCAAAAAAGACTCTCATGCTGCACAGAAAAATGAGATATATGCTCCTTTATGCAGTAGTGACACCGACGAAGATCGTTTAATAATTGATATAGAGCATAAAAATACGGAATGCAAAAAAACTGTTCCAAATGCTGTTTCTCAGACCTTGGTCCAGACTTGCAAGTCACCTTCCCCCACCCCAAATCCATCTGCAAGCATGGCTGATTGCTCAGAAACTGTGCATCAGGGGAAAAATGCCTCCAGAAAGACTGCAAGAAGGTTGTCCAAAGAATTTGATCCTGTTGGACGGATTTTGAAAATGCAAACGGAGCTCCTCAAGTCACCTACCCAAAAAGCCCATGAGCAGCCAGCAGTGAGCTGTGATAATGCTAATGCTGCACAAACTCACGTGCCTCAATCTTCAAAGCCACCAGTGATCTCCCACACAGCACCTGTGCTGGGCCCTGCCCCAAATCCTCATGGCTCATCTAGGAATACCTGGACGTGCCTTTTTCAGGGGGTGCCAAGGAGTGAGTAGCAATGTTTGTTGTCTGTGGAGAAAATCTGAAAAATTTCAGTTCAACTGAAAAGCATTTTAATTCCCTTGCCTGAAGAGGATCTGTAATATCTCTGTAGCTCTGTTGCATTTGTTCAGATATGACTTTTTTATGACCCCAGAAATACTTTGTGTTTGGCAGGTATTATGTTGCACGAATAAGGAAGAATGTGTGGAGCTGTTTATCCATAGAGGCGAATAAGAAATGTTAATTTTAATTATAGAAACAACAAGGCTTCTGAGAAAGGAGAAGTTGTTTGGTGTTGAGATTAGTTACTTTTCCATAGAAGTTTCAATGTTTGAGCAGTCTGGTCTGTGAGAAGGTCTACAAAAATCATTTCTTCTCAGTTGAAAGTGGAATTACTTTACTTTTTCTGTAGATCAAATTATGTAATTAAAATTTTGAAGAAAAGTTGGTATTGACTTGTCCAAGTTTTGAGAATTCCCCCTCAGCTTCTGTTTATCAGCTCTTACCAAATCTGTTCCAGAGGGCTGCTGAGAACTCACTGCAAGGCACTTCTCCAAGTTTTCCAGGTTCAGCTGGAAATGCAGCCCATGTTAGACCCAGACCTCTACTTGAAGGTCCTAGGGGCCATAAAGTTTGAGGGCTTTTTACTTGCCTGAGTAGCTTCTGAGCTGTGTAAAACTGAAACTAGGAACCCTTGCTTCAGGTAAATTGGCAGGAAAGCGGGCAGTTGGATCAGCATGGATACACTTCTTTCAAATATTTAATTCCAATGAATCAGTGCTTTTTGGTGGGAGAACATATTTTATTGGTGTTTTCTGATTAGCTGTGTGCTTGATCACATAGGAATTAATTATTTAACTGTTTCCATTGCAGATGGATTAACACAAGTAATACTTTTATGAGCTGAACTTGTTGTTAGGTACGTTTCCTTTGAGTCAACCAGATTTTAATTATTGGTCAAAGACATGACTCTTTTCCCTCCTCCCATCTAAAGGACTAAGCAGCATGATGCTCTTCCAATTTCTTATCTTTTCACAAAGCCAGACCATGGAATTCAAGTGTTGTTTATTTTTAATCGGAGTGATAAAACCAATATTGCTAAGAAACTGAGATGTGGTATTGTGAACAAATAGAAAACGGAGTTCAACAGCTTGGAAGTGATATTGCAAGCTGATAAGTGGCTTTACGTGTCTTTTTGGCAGAAGGCTGGAATTAAGTTAATTATTTAACAAGCAGAAAGTTATTTTTTGTCACTTGAATGTTAGTGCATCACACAGCATTCATTCATTCAAACATGCATGTAAACAATAAGTATAATGGTGAATGTATTTATTAGTAGCACTACAGCAATATTTCTTTGTGGTGTAGTTTTGATATGTATTATTTCCACAGATCTGCAGTACAAAAGCAGAATTGGATAAATAAACATCAGAGCTTATATTTTGTGGTTTTGGTGTTTCGTTAAAATATCTGTGAAGGACACAGATATGGGTGTCCATCAACCTCAAAGCTGCATCTTAAGATCTGAAGAAGTTTCTTTTGAATATGCAAGTTAATGTAATTGAAACTGAAACAAACTCAGTTTGGAATGGAGCCTCGAGCCACCAGCCAAACCTGAGGCTTGAGCTGCTTCTGTAATTAATAAATGGATAACGTCTCTCATTCAAAGTAATTCTGTGGGCTCTTTGTGCTGAGTGAAAGTAACTGAAAGAAAAAAATCACCTTTCCACTCCGTCTGCACAAAACGCTCTGCGTAAGAAATTGAACAGCAGGATAAAATATGGGAATAATTAATAATACATTCTTTAAAAGCCATTGTAGGCATTTTGTGGAATTATTTTTTTAAAAACAAACACCTTAACAAGTGACTTACTGTGCATAATGAGCAAGCTTTTCACCTCCAACTATTATCAAACAAAATGGCTTTTAAAAAATCAACTACTGTCAAGAAAGGGCAAAAAAAGCCCTCAAAAAAAGCCCTTTGATTAGCCTCAAAGTGAGGAATGCCCAAGTTTGTTGTTTTTGGTTTTATTTTCTGTAGGAAAGCTGCCAGATGAACTTCAGATGCTTGTGGAAGACCCTGGAGAGTATAAAGCACCTCAGGATGGCAACCTTGTGTATAAGCTGTTCAGTTTGGATGACCTGTTGTTACTCGTGCGTTGCAATGTGCAGAAAGTGAGATCATTGCCACGTTTCAATAAAAAGAAGAAAGCTCAAAAGGTGAGGAATTGGCTCTTTTTTTTAATCTACTTGATTAGAACAGATTCTAAATGTGATTCTGCATTTGCTACTACAGCTACATTTCAGTAATATGTATGAATAATTCTATTCATGTAACATGATGCCTCTTGGAACTGTTTTTAAAAGGTAACATAGAAATTTTTTTTTCCAAACACTTCAAGATTGTTTGGAATCATAAAAACATTCTGTTTGAAAAGGCTCCAGAATACATCTTAGCAAACTGTGTGTCTTAAGGGCTAAAATGCTTTAAGTGCAAGTGAAATCCAATATTCTGTATTATGACAGGAGAAGGAAAACTTAGTCTGGAATCCTCGGCAATTCATAGTTTTGTCAAGAGTCCTCATAATCGTTTGTCAAACTTGATCTGATATAGGCTTCCCCAAAATACCAGAATTATGATGGACAGGTAAACAGCTTGTAAGGTGTTTGTACTTGATTGAAATAGAAATAGATCTTAGTAGTTTTTACTTGTGAAAATTATATGCTCACAGTCTTGCTTTGAACTATCTTGGCTTTGCTTGATGTGAATAAAAGGCAGAATTCTAACGGGCAAATCCGTGTCATAATTGCATATCTAAATTCCTGCAGAGGGCAGTAGAGCATAAAAGTGAGAATGTCAAAATAAGTTTCATGGGTAGTGGCTTAATATCAGTTTATTTTTTTGTGAAAACATGCCTAGTGTTTTCCTGTTTTATTTTAACCTCTCTGTTTTGCCTTCCTTGATGCAGGGTCTCCTTAGCCTTAAGCTTGTTGTGTGGGTTTCATAGGGCACAAGCTGTTACATCTTTGTTGCTGCAGTTGTAGTGGAAGATGATGATGATGATTATAAGTGTCAAAATGCAGCTAATTGCAACAATCGTTTTTGCACAGCATACTGATTTTTGTCTGTGTGTTTGCTTTGATAGCTTATTCCAATATTCCTGTTGCCTAAACTGGAATACCAAGCCTATTATGGTGTTGAAGCTCTTACAGAAAGTGAAGTATGTCAGCTGTGGACAGAGAGCATGCTTCATTCTGAATGCTTATTTTATGTTGGTAAGTCGATGTGTTGATTTGTGCTTGCTTGTATGACATGTGGATGTCTAAACCTCCATGAAATAACAGAAGAGGAAGGTGTTTATGGCAGGTATATTCCATACATCCTTATTTAGTTTTCTAACTTTGGTTTTCACTTCTATCTTAAGTTCTTTTTCTAAAATTTCTCTTGGGTGCTGAATGGGGACATTTCAACTTTGGTTTTCACTGGATAACATCCAGTAACCTTTGTTTGCAAGAACTGCATTTGTTTGCTTTTCAAGGAAAAATTTATAACCCAAACTTAGTTCTCAGAAATTAGTGATCTTTGTGACTTCAATTATTTATTTTTTTTTAATGAGTCAAATGCAACACAGATTATTGTAATGTAGGAGCAGTGAGAATTCTTCTCAATTTAAAAAATGAACTGTAAATGTGTGCTATTTTGTGAAATCATTTTAAACCAATTTGTTATCACATGCCAAAATTGGTGACTGGAAATGATTGGGTATGTGACTCAGAGAATACAGATCTCTTCACTTTTGAACTTGTAGCAGGGGAGAAGGTCAAACATAACTTGTTTTTCTTTGGAGACATGCAATAGTGTTTATAATTCAGCACTAATAACATGCAGACAGATAAGATACAGGAGAATGAGGAAAAGCAAGCAAGATATGACTTGTTTTGTTATTCAGAAATATGAGAAATTGCAAGCTTTGGAAACAGAATATTTGTGTCTCAAATACAATATACTGGAAGTAATTTTGTCTTTGCAGTAACGAGAAAAATAGGTAGCATGGGTTTATTTAAAACTGCTTTCTATAGGTGTGGTATTGCATAGGATCTCTGAATACCAGTATGTAATGATGTTTTTCAGATAGTTGAACAGAAGTTGTCTGTGCCTAACTGGTCAGTGAAATTTCATTTCCCAGTACATAATGTGGTCAAAATATCCCGAAGGGATGGGTATGATAAACTTGTCCTTCATGTCCTTCCCATCTGCTGTGCAAAAATGTAATAGGGCCTATGCATGCAGAGTAATCAATACTCAGAATGAAGCAGTCCTGTATAGAAGAGATTACATCTGTAATTTGGAGCATGGAAAATAGAATAAACTGGGATGAAAAGCAAAAATGTTATTAGAAGGTGTCTTACTGTAAAGTCTCTTTTCTGCACAACTAAGACCTAACATGAGTGCAGTGTTCTAAGGAAAGTGATCAGCATACTTCCAGTAAAAAATGCTACATTCAGATTTGTACAGTGACTGTTTTAAAAGTCAAGAAAGTTTGTCTGTTCCTCTTTCTGGAGAGAAAGAAAAATGATACATATAAAGAACGGGGCCAGATAACTTTACCAAACTTTTTAATATATGTGTAGCTCTTTGATATCAGTTATCTAGTGATTAATTAAGTTTTAAAAGGACCATCTGTTCAAGTGGTACGTCACAGTGCATCTTAGAATATGCTTAATGTTTGCTGTGGGGAGAGGGCAATCCTCTACAGTGAGTGAATGTTCTGGAGCTGGGACTGCCTCGCTTCCTGTTATAGAAAGATTTGTCTGTTTTTATGGTTGTTATGGCAGCAGTTGTGGCCTGTGGTTGCCTAACCTTTCCACTTTAGCACTGAATGACACGTTCTGCTCTTGGTAGCTCATGTCAGAATACTATTTGAGAAATGCTGAGTTTTTTTTTTTTTTTTTTTCTAGCTTTTACATACAAACTTTGCATCTTAATCACAGAACTGTAAGGCTTATATGAAATCAGATATGATCTAAAAACCTTCACAAAGCCAAATTTATTAAATCATTATGCACAAAGTTCTCCTATTCTTCTTCTCTAATTTACCTTTTATTTACGTATTACCATTCAGCAAGACCTGGAAAGGCTGGAGAGCTGGGCAGAAAAAAACCAGATGAGGTTTAGCAAAAGCAAGTGTAGAGTCTTGCATCTGGGGAGGAGTAATTCCATGCACCACTGCAGGTTGGGGGATGAGCTGCTGGAGAGGAGCTCTGCGGAGAGGGACCTGGATGTCCTGGTGGACAACAGGTTGGCCATGAGCCAGCAGTGTGCCCTTGTGGCCAAGAGGGCCAATGGCATCCTGGGGTGCATTAAAAAGAGCGTGGCCAGCAGGTCGAGGGAGGTGATCCTCCCCCTCTGCTCTGCCCTGGTGAGGCCTCAACTGGAGTACTGCGTCCAGTTCTGGGCTCCCCAGTACAAAACAGACAGGGATCTCTTGGGAAGAGTCCAGCAGAGGGCCACGAAGATGGTGAAGGGCCTGGAGCATCTCTGCTGTGAGGAAAGGCTGAGTGAACTGGGTCTGTTCAGCCTTGAGAAAAGAAGACTGAGAGGGGACCTGATCCAGGTCTATAAATATCTAAGGTGTGGGGGGCAGAATGGTGAGGCCGGACTCTTTTCAGTGGTGTAGGGTGACAGGACAAGGGGAAACGGCCAGAAACTGCAGCATAGGAAGTTCCACACAAATGTGCGCAAGAACTTCTGTACAGTGAGGTGACGGAGCACTGGAACAGGCTGCCCAGGGAGGTGGTGGAGTCTCCTTCTCTGGAGATGTTCAAGACCTGCCTGGATGCCGACCTGTTCGACCTGCTGTAGGGAACCTGCTTTGGCAGGGGGTTGGACTCAATGATCTCTGGAGGTCCCTTCCAACCCCTGCAATTCTGTGATTCTGTGAACTTGATGCAAGGTCCTGAAGTTGTTTTTTTTGTTTGTTTGTTTGTTTTTTAAGTACAGTAGTACTAAACTACACTGAAATATTTCTCCCCTTAAGAAAATGTTTCTGTTTATTAGCTTCTCCAGAATCACAAGCAGTGTGAGGAAATAATGTAGCTGTAAAGAGAGGGCTGACTGTCTTAAAAGGCATGCAGGCTGGAAGAATGCATGTCTATCTAATCATCTATCAGTAACAGGACACTTAGCATATGGCTAGGGCACGGAAGTTTGCACACAGCTCAGCAGCCAACACCCATTTACTGAGGCTCTCAGGATTGTAGGAGAGAGCGGTTCTTGTTCCGGCATGAGCTGTCATCCCGTTCTGATTCAGAAGTTCCTTAGTCTCCACTGTACCACGCAGGCAGCTGTTAGGCATGGAGTGGGTGTGGAGCCCTGAGCAAGCAGGCTCCTGGGAGCCAGCCTCTGACAGCTCTGTGTGCTTAGGGAGAAAGCCGTAGTGAAGCTGAGACGCTGTTCATTGCAGTGTGTTTGGTTTTCGGTTCTTGGATGCACTTCATCCAGCAGCAAAACCTGGAATCCTTTAGGGGTTTGTACTGGTTATCGTAGTTCTCCTAGCATTTGTGAAGGCCCCCCTGCCACCACTGTTTAAACAAACAAAAAAAGATTTAGAATATTGCTTGTATTGACTTGGACTTCTGGTGTGTGAATAACTTTTGGTGCTTGCAGAATATGGGTTTTATTCAGGTAGGCAAACTGGGGACTGTGGATTTTTGGTACCAGCATGTAATTTCTAATGTAGCTAGGTTAACAGATGCCTGGAAGGCATCAATCAATTTTGTATAAAATCGAACCTACAACTGCTATTAATAGGAAACTTACCACATTCTACTTCAGGATTCATAGAATCTCCACTCCTTTAGTTTGAAACCGTTTCCCCTTGTCCTGTAACAACAGACCCTGCTAAAGTCTGCCCCTTTCCTTCTTACAGCCCCCCTTTAGGTACTGAAAGGCCACTCTTGGCTGTCCCCAGAGCCTTCTCCTGGCCAGGCTGAACACAGCTTTGATTCTGCCTTTCATTTTATATTTCTGGGGAGCTCTGAAAAATCCAGTGTTGCAAGTGTTCTAATTTAGTTACACAACTCTTTGAAAGACTTTCTTTTTTCCTGAAAATCAAGTGGCAGTTCCCCAGTGGTGATAATATCCCTGTATTATGGATGGCTTAAAATTGGGCGAATATTTCATTCTTTTTCATTGCAAGACTTGAACTATCACATGTTTGTTGTAACCAGAAAGGCAGACATGATCTAGGTGTCTTCTTAGGTCATGCCATAATTTGAAATAAGTGAAATGTCCTATCATACTGGGATGTTTGAATCAGCAATAGTATAGCCATAGACTTATTTACCCAATAACGTGAAGGTATGAAAAAAACTATTTGAAAACTTTGCTCTTACCATTAATAATACAGTACCTATCAAGCTTCTGTTCTTATTCAATTAGTTCTAGGAATGTGTAGATCTGAAGTGAACCTTTCAAACTGAGGTTTTGAATGGGTAGCAGATATCAGTGGTAAGTTGCTTAGGCGTTCTTGGATCTTGAAAGGATTGGAATTCACTGTATTAGCAACCTTTTGCGTTGCTAATAGGTACGGGTGAAAAGTTCTTTGGACCTTGGGTAGTGCCCCATAATTTTCCAGCGTTGTTCTTCTGTGTGACTCAGGGAAGTACCTCACAGTGCCTCAGTTCAGCAGATGAAAAAGGAAACGGAGATGGAGGTATTGCCTCCTGCATACTGTGCAAGGTGTGCCGTTAAGTTGGGTTTTTGATTTCTTGACAAATGGACTCTCCATTTGTTCAAAAGCAGATATATCATCTTCACACCAACCAAAGAGTGCTTTCTGTAGAGCATCTTGCTCAGTCGTTTTAAGTCCTGTTGCTGTTCAAATAGGATAACATGCGTACAAAAAGGCTGTGACATTTCCCAAAGTATCTGTACCTGTTTTAATTGGTTTAATTGGTTAGGCATTGCTGATTAAAGCTGGGAATGCTTTACCCCCAAAAGTCACTTGTTTGCATTAAGCACCTGAGCATAGTTTATCTTCATCTGAATGGAATAACAATGACTCTTAAATAAAGATGATTTGAAGACTGTTTGGAAAAAAGTGCTTTCTGTATAGATAACTTACTGAACGTCAAGTGGACTTGGTCAGTCACTTCTGAAATAAAGGTTACAGTAACATATGTCCAGTATGAATAGTTCATAGGTATTTTTCTCCAGCTATGCTGTCAACGAGTTTAGAAATTGAGATTTTGAGAAGATGCTGACAAATAATGGGCAACACAGATTTTTTACTTTCATGATTTCAAGTTTCTTTCTTCATAGTTAGCAATGCAGAATATTAAACTTAGTGTTTAGTCGTACAGAAAACACTGCTATCAAGAAAAGTAACATGTGTGGTGTTTTAAAAGTGAACCAGGACAACTGATTTCATTTCAAATTTGTTACAAATGCGAGTTCGTGCTTGATCATCATGTAACAGATTGCTGAGTAATGTTTAGCCTTGAACATGAAATAATTTTGTTTAGCAGTTTTAAATATACTGTTGAGACTTTTAGACTTCCTACATGGACAGATATATAGCATGTGCAGTAAATTCCACTGAGTAGGTTACTTTTATTATACTGTGTTCTGATTCTTATGGAAGCTGAAATAGGGCAGTTTTCTGCAAAAACCTCAACTTGAGAGAGAATCTCTCTTGGTAAGATGCAGTCACTACATCAATGTACAAGCTATGGTAATTATCTTTATTGCTTTTCAAGTGAAAACTTGGGCTAGCCTGTGCCTGTTATAGCAGTATGTTGAGGAAAGCCCTTAGTTATGTGAGGGATAAACAGTCTTAGCAAATTTGCTGTGAACAAGGCCAGAATTGTAAGCTGTGTTTCACTGGAGGAAAGAAAAAATCCGAAGACAAAGATACAGAATACTCAGAAAACCAAATAATATCAATGGTCAGATAACGCAGCAGAACAGAGAAACGAGTGTGTTCAACTCCAAGGTAAATTTGTCTTAAAAGTTGAGCTTATCATCTACACTGTAAGGAATTGTAGCATTAAGCATCAGGAAAATTTGAGAAGATATAAACTAGCTGACAAGAGTAAAGCCACAGCAAAGTGAGGTTGCACATGCTGGACATCACACAAGACGTGAGATTTGCAGGAATCATGGGCCATCCTTGATCTGTAAGACAGCCCACACACAAATGCCCGTGCTTAGAAACAACTGTACATTCCATTTTCAGTTATTGTGCAACACTGATAGATGCTTTCCACTCTCTACACTGTGAAACAGGAAAAAATATTGCTTTTAGAATGCTCTAGGTCTGCAAATTATGCCTTTATGTTTGTTTGTTCTCTCTTTTTTTTTTTTTTTAATGTATTGATTAATGTTTTCCAGGGCATATTGATGGTCTCACTTCAAAACTTATTATGCTGGAAAAGATTTCTCCAAAAATATTAAGAGAAAAACTTGGATTGATTAAGTGAGTATTTTTTTTAGTGATGAATCTGAAGTTCTAACAAGGCTTGCAAGATACTCCTTTTTTAAGTGCTTTTACTTTTTTACTTTTTTAAATACTTTTTTGCTGTAATTTTTTTTTAACAGGCCAGCAAATTCATTGAATATACTTCATCATATTTTGAAGAAAGTGTCTGAGTAAGTGCTTCGTTTTTGTACATTATATTCCTTTCCAACTGTGCCCATGCAATCCTGTTTCTTATGTACAGTGGTAGTCTGCTCTTTAATTTTTGTGTCTTTGGATACATTAAATCTATTAGAGATTCTTTTAGGTCTAGCATAGCATAACTCAGTACCACCTAAAAATGTGCTTAGGTTTGAAGGTTTTGTATGAATGGTACAAAAGAACAGCAAGTTGACTTTTATGAACCACTTACTCAGGAGAGGAGATGGGATACTTCTGAGCTGGCTTAACAGTACATAGGAGTAAGCTGTAATAGTGTGTAGGCTGACACTTGAAATTTTGATTTTTGCTAGCAATAACAAAGTTCCCTTCATATGTTCCCTTCTGCTTAACTTTACAAATAACAGCATATATCTTCATCTGCACACTGTTACAACTTCTCTCTTGTTCCCTATTTTTCTTTCTTTGGCTACTCTGAGGCTTTCAGTCTGCAGCTTCTTTGCATGCACATGGGCTGCTCTGAAGTAATGCCATCTATTATGTTTGTTCACGACATCACAGGGAGATATTGGTGGCATGGCAGAAGAGGCTGGACCTTTTTGCCAGTATAAAATATAAATGAGCAAGATCTAATTTAATTTATTAATGCAATTTAACTTCCTCATTTGCGTCCATGGTCTTTTTTATAAAACAAGGACTGATAAGTAAATACCTAAAGATGTTTTGCTTCTGCATTAAAGCTATTACTAGCTATCCTGTTCAGGTTGTCAGATAAAGTGAAACAATTAACAAAGCAAACAAAAAACATTTTTTTTTTTTAATTTATATCCTTTTAGTTTGCAGGAGGGCTCTTATCTATTGACTCATGCTGCAGGAGATTCATCAGTTACAATCTACAAGAGTTCCCTTGACAAGCCAACAAGAGCTTCATATAACTTACATAAGGCTCATGGTGATCTGCCGTCAGTACCTGCCATGCTCTCAGTCCCCTGGGTGCCACTGGATCCCAGTGTCCCTTTGCCCTATCACATGAAACATGGAAGAGTCCCATGCACCTTTCCGCCTGCGCCCCAAGAAGCCACAGGGAAACAGAAGGTGGGTATTGCACTTCATGGAAAAACAGAGTAGCAGTTTGGAAATAATCTTTTTCAATCCGCTGGTTATAGGTGGTATATTTGTTTGTCATCTTGTGGGTTCAAAGACACCCTTTAGAGTTCTGCATCCACAGCCAGGAACAGGAATGCCTTTTTCCTGAAAGGCATTTCAGATGAGATTCGTCTTACCTAGCTTTTAAGTGTTACAGTATGGAAAAGCAATGTTGAAGCTTGTAGTACTGTCAGCAGAGAGAAGTGGAATGCTTTAATAGGGATCCATCTGTAAACTAGGATAGATCTCTTCAGTAGGTTGCAGGACTCATGCTGTAATTATTTTTTCCCTAGTGACTACAGAATTATGGATGATTAGTGCAACTGTAGACAGGTGCATTCAGATGAGATGAATTATACTCTCAGGGTCTAGTTTGTGATAAATTATATTGAGCTCTTGTTCCAGTTTTACATGATATGGATGTGTTTTTCCAAAAAAACACACTTTTTACCCTGTTTGGCAAAATCTCTTCAAAGCTGAGCTTTGCATCTTTAATGTGGGCTAATGATACTTTTGGACAGTGAAAACGATGCAGCATTTGCCCTACTTAAAAGCCTTGTAATTAAGGCTTTCAGTACAGCTGGAACAGGTACAGTATTTCTATTCATAAAGACTTTCTGGTGTTGCCTCTGATATTGTTTTTTATCAATATGCTTTATCTTCAGACAATTTCAGGAAGGATCTGAAACTATTTTAACTATTTTGCTGTCCTCAAGTCCCCACTTCCCCTCCATTTTCCCTTTTCTTTACTCCAAATCTCAGAATCTTGAAATCTTGGACTGTTTCAGTGAAAACTGACATGCCTTGGAGGCATGTGATGGTGAGTTCTGAGGAGCTTTGTGAAAATCAGTAACAAGACAGAGGAGAGGAATCTAGGTTGGTCCTTTCTCTGTGCACTCAGCTCCGGTATTTGTACCAGAACCCTCATGTGGGCAGCAAAGATTGTAAGGAAATCACCCGCGTCAAAAAGAGATTTTCTGTTAGCTGTGGCATAACACTACAGGACAGCAGACCCAAAGAAGTTACTCTTTACTAGAAGTTTAAGTTCTTTCTTATATCTCCTCATGCTGTTCTTTCCTGATTTCAGCACACAGAGTATCCTGAATCTGTTCTTGGTTGATTAGGATGTTGAACAAATCTCATGTATGGATAATGGCAAATTCTCTGCAGCAAAAAGGTTTCATTTTAGTCTTTTCAGGTGTGTTAGCTCAGGCAGCTAGATAACAGCTAATCACCTGTCTTTGGTTGTTCTGAAAACCTTTTAGCTTTGAGAAAACTTTGACTGCAGTTCAGGTGGTTTCCCTGGCATAGGGAAACAGGGGAACTTAGAATTCTTGTAGTATGCTGTTCCCTACATGGGGCAACATTCCTAGCAGCATCTATGCAATAATGTTTAAGAGCAGCATGCTGCCTAGTGCAGAGGTAGGTATGCTTTGTGTAGCATGTAGGAGTAACTTCTTAGTTAGGAAACATTTCTCAGACATACGTAATAACTGTTTATATGGATGGCTTACTCCTAACATCTGCTCTTTGCTGCTATTGTTTCTATAACAATAGAATTTATCATGAGCAGAATTGTTTGTATCCAAAGAGAATTTTAATAGAATCTTTTAAATAAACTGTTCAGAACCTCAGCCTGCTTTGTAATTCACAGTGATGATTCAACAGTGTATATCATGCTGTGGAAACTTCCCAAAGATCCCACTCTTAGCTCTTAATATTTTGAGCAGGTAACACGACAAGGTACCAGCAGGAAACTTTTCAGGCATTACTGTTTGTCCAGTGCAGGTTTACCAATTTGACGCTTTCTGTGCCAGTTGTACATTTTAGCTGTATTCTGACCTCATATGAGGGCAGTGTGAAGTTGGACATCAGTTTCTGATGGCCTCGTGTACTTTGGTTTCTGCCAGAGGGAAATTTGGGCATGAAAGTAGTGGGAATGGTGAGATGCCACTGGTGCCAGGAAGAGCAGCGGTGCCTCTCATCCTGTCTGAATGTGGCCCTGAGTCTGGCTGGCATTAGAAGGCAGTTCTCTGAAGGTAGTTACGTCTTTGCTTAACAGAGAAAGAGATTAAGATTACTCTTTATCTTTTTTCCTCTCTCCCCACATGTCTAGATGGCTGGGGTGAAAGGGCAGTCAGACACACCCTACGAGGGAGAGCCAGTAACTATGGAAACAAAAGGCAATCCAGCTAAGCCTGTTAGAAATGAAGGTGTGGCTGCAAAGAAGCTGAAGAAACACTGCAAGCAAAGAATGATGAAGAAAAAGTGGAAAATGAAGCAAAACAAAGCACAGGTGAAGTAGGAGCATCTGAACCGTGCTAAGCATGGACTGGAGAAGTTCAAAATGGAACAACACATCTGAGGGCTTTTGAAGTTTCAAAGGAGCCAGAACAAACCGGTAGGGGAAACAGCTCCACAGCCATACTTAGGAGCACTGAAAAGTTCTATAAACCTTTAACCCCTTCTTACCTTAGTGGGCACGTTTCAATTGAAAAATCTTAAATTCAGTTGGGTTTAAAACAAACAAACAAAAAAAATGATGAGTGCCTCCTGTTGAAGTCAGCGGAAAAGTACGACCTGTTAGCCTCACCATTGTCATAGAATAACTACAGCTTGAAGCGTGAAGATGCAGTGGTCTGCAACAGTGTCTGATATGACAGCAACAAGAAAAGCAACTCTTCAGTTTGCTTACTTCTTCCAGAATCACTATAGATTTGTATTCTGGCAATTTTAAATCATATTTTACTTTATGTGGTATAGCTAAGAGATTTATCTAGTTAAATTTTTAACATAATGTCTACCAATTTTTTACAATTATTCACTGAAACACATTCTCTTTTTAGGATGGTGTAGCAAATGAGTCTGGGGAAACAAAAGCTGTGTTTTATAGAAAAGTACGTGCCATAAATTTGCACTGGAAAGCCTAAGCTTTGCTAATAAGCGAAGTATGAAACAGTTTCTGCTTCCCCAGCACAATTTCCAGGAATTGCTTTGGTTTCTAGCATGTCTTCAGAAATGAGTATTGATGGTTTTTTATTGCATTACTGAAAGGTTACAGTCTAATCTCCTATCAGAATGCAGGGCAATATGCGGTACTGTTTACCTGAGGTATTAAGGTTTGCCTTAGTTGTCACTGGAAAAAAAAACAAGACTATGCTGAGTCTCAGCAGCTCACTTAAAATTTTGAGCCAAATTGAGTGTGAGGTTAGAAAAAGTGTACACTGACTGTCTGTTGCAGTTTCCTAGTAAGAAAAATGAAATTCTTACAATGGTCTGTGATGGTCAGTATTGAAGCACCTTGTAAGCTGTGATGCATTTGTAATTATTTTCTGGATTTCTGGGTGTTTTTTATGTATTGTGTATAATTGTGTTTCTTCATTAGGAGAACTGATTTTAGAAAAGTTAGGAATTCTTTAGTCAGTAAATTCTTTCCCATGTTTGCTTTTTAAATCACAGAAGTATTTTAAAATGAGCCAATTTCTGTTTGAATGATGTTCCAGTGGGTTGTTTGTGTATGTGCTTAAACAAAAGCCTTCAAGATTTTCTTCCACTTCTTTTACTTGGGGACAAAGTGCATACATCTGATTGGAGTTCTTCTACGTAACGTGGAAGTTTTGCTGCTGAGTTTTTTTTTATCATAGAGTAAAAATAAAGTATTTTATTTGTTTACTGGGTTGTACAAGGTTTTTAAAATCCTGAGGACAAGTTCTTTTAAGGAGGTTTAAGCAGTGAATGTACATTAAAATCTATTCTTTGTGAAATACAAAGCATTTTCTGAGCTTTTTTTTCCCTTGCTAGATGTATTTATAATATTATTCAGTTTATTATGGTATTGGCCACCACTTCTGTTAGCTGCAGTGATATGTTGCTGACAAGCTGAAATGGCTTACAGTTGTTTGCAGGCTACAAGTCTTCCTGACTCAAAATCCTAAATCCAGCCAGTGACCTCTCTTAATGGGAATACTTTAGCTGTGAGTCATTTCTGTGAGATAACTCTGTGTGGGGAGTCAAAGCAGTTTTCAATGTGTATACATAAAAATTGAGCAAAACTTGTGGGGAATTTAGTTTTTTTTATACCATTTCTTTAAGTTTCAACTGTATGCTCTATGTGCCCATGTGTTGGTGCAGCTGGAAGAGTTCTGTCTTTTAATATTATTGTGTGTGTGTGTACATATGCACTAATTGTAGTTTATTATCCATTTAGAATATGTAGGCAATGTGGAGCAAACAACCACATTCTGTTGGAACAAATTCTGTTGGATTTGTTCTCTTTTGTATTAAGTGGGACTGGGGTAATGTGCTCTAAGCTGTGTGAAGGGCAGCTTTTGTTCATACAGCACAAGAACTTGTTGAACTCCATCATTAGGTGTATAGAACACATGTTACTGAGAGCTGTGGCCTGCTTGTTTTCTCACAGCCGTGTAGAGCGTGCCTTCGTAAAGTTCATGTACCAGTTACCATGGCTTTATGAGCCAGATTGAGCACAGTAACATTTCTGTTGTTAGAAAGGAAACTGATGCTGAAACAAATCTTGGGGTATTCCTTGTGAGGAGGGATTGAAATACAGTCACTTGGATAGCTCTTGGGTGCAATAGTACAGTTGATTTGTGACTTGTGTGTAGATGCACCCTAGATCTGCATGGACTTGGAAAGTAATGAATGGGTTGTTTCTGCTAATGGTTGTTGCTTCCTAACTCAAGATCACAGCCTTTTCCTGTGTCTGAACATGAGCAATAACAGCGGGAAATTCTTAATATAAGTTGCCTTTATAGTCTGCCACATCCTGATGAGGTTTGATGGGAAGAGGAATGCTACTTTTAACAACATATGAAAACCAAATCCTGACTTTGAGAGCCTGATACAGCAAAACAACAATATGCCTTTGATCATCTTGCTGCTGGATATTTCTGTGTTTCCCAAAGGGTTGCCTTGTTTTTCAACAGCTCGTGATTGGTGAAATAAAAATGGAGGATTATGCAACATCATGGACTAAAATCTAATGTGAGTTTGTTACTTTACCTAAATTGCAGCTTTGTACTCCAACACATCTCTGTATTTAAAGTCAAATTACATTCTTATTTTCTCTAGTAACAGTTCAGCAGAATTCCACTTAGTGAAGTGGGTCTGGTAGCAAAACGTGTTATTAAATGCTCTTTAATTTGAGGCAAATGTACAAAGGTATACTTCAGTTTGTGTTAAACAAAGTTCCATTTAAACGAGTTTGATAAAAGGAGAAAGAGGAAGGGGTAGCATGTTTATTTTGTGCACCAATATCTGAACTTTGAAACAAAGGAAAAACAAAACAAAACAATATAGTTACGTTTAAAAAAAATCAAGTCTGAGAATGTGCTGTGTATCAGTTGATGAATCTCTGATTCTGTACAGGCTAATCCCAAAGGAACAGCATCTTTGGAGGGAAGGAACACAGGGGAGCCTGACTGTTATGGTACCACCAGAGTATGAATTCCTACATCTAACACAGACTGTACAGTTGTGGAAACTACAGCTGAAGGAAAGTGTGCAGGCCTGGATCTTATTCTGCAGACATCTCTGCTTCTGCAGCTACTTAGTACTGATATTTTACATGGCCTCAATCAGCTGAGTTTAGGAGCAAATTTTCAGGTACCACCATCTTGTCTTGTGGTTTCAGTCTTCAGCTTTGCATTTGGAATGAATTACATATATTTGTATTGCAGTTTGTGATTCATTTTTAAATGTAATTACTACTTCTTTGTCCATCTGTGTTATGAGAATATCTTTTGGATAAGCATTTGAAGTGCAAAATTAGATGTTACTTAGCGGATAAGAATCTTCCAATTTTATGTCTTTATTCTTTGTTAGCTTTTTGTCTTTGCAGTTTACCTGGTTGTGAAGGGTATGGACTGTCCTGTCTGTCAGAACTGGAAGTTGTAACTGCTGGAGAACTAGACTGATTTCAAAACTCTGCATTTAGTTCTCTCCTGATTGGTGTAGATGCTTGTAGTCCAGTACTGATGGAGCAGCCAGAGCTGCTGCTTGTGCTGATTTTGTCATGGTGCTGGAGTTAAATGCCATGCGGTCCTTACTGACCTTGTGCCGCCCCAGTCTCTCTGAATAGCCGCTCTTCTGTCCACTGTTACTCTCCTCTCCATTCTGCGTCATCTGCAGACTTGCTGAATGCTGATTCATTTGTGCTACCCAGATGATTTATAAGAAAACTGGGAAGTACTAGACCTCGTGTTGACCCCTCAGGAGCTCCACTCATGACTATCTTCTAGTACAGCTCTGAGCCACCAGTTACCTCAGTGAACATGGAAGAAACCCTCTGACATCATAGTTTTCCACGTTGGAAAAGATCGCAGATATTAAGTCTGTTTCTCTCGAATTCCTGGTGTTTTTTGTTAGATTAAATTGGCAGATAGTCTGTATTTGGTTTTAAAGGTCCAGAAGAGGAATTCTTACCAGGCATTAGAGAATATTGATTGATTATACCTCTGACAGTATGAAACATTAGCAGTTCTTCATATATGCACGAATAGCTGCAATGGGCTATTCATTGTGAAACTTTTTTTTCTGCCTTAATAAGTGCTTGCAAGCTTAATCTGCAATGTGCACTGAAGGATCACTGCACTGCTTTCCTTGGCATGCATTGCTGGCGAGACCTTCACCATGTCTGGGTGACTGAAAAAAAGTTAGGAAAACATTTACTGTGTTTCTTCAGTGTCTTGTAGTGTAGCCTAGCAGGTGGAACCTTAAGTATGAGCCATGGCTGTGGGACGGGACATCCACTCCTGTGCTGGCAAGTGAGAGCTACCAAGTCATTATCAACCCAATGCCATGAAGTTCAGTACCAAATACTGGAGCATTCGTACAGGTACTTCTGCTTCTTACTTGACTGCTGTATTTTAGATAGGAGATTGTCTCTAAAAGACAGTTAAGGCCAGTTTAGAGGTAGTCTTTTAGAATGTTTAGTGATGACCTCCATTTAAGCTGGCTCTATTTCCACTAGTAGAGGAATTAAACCATTTTCAGTCTCTCCTCTCCTCTGAATCTGACTGAATATATAATGTTTCAGGTGCTTCTCTGAGAACTTATGTAACTAGGCTCCTTCTTTCTTAAACAAAATACAGCCTTTCTTACAAGGAAGGGCACAGTCCTAGCAGAAGCACTGTCATTTCTTGATAGGTTTCCAAATTTTTCTTTGCTGACAGTAAATTTGGGCTTTTTAGTTGCTTTTAAATTGTATTTTTCTACAAAGATCTTTAGATTTTACTATTGTCATGCTTCTGAAAGAGATGGATTTTATAGTTAACACATCCAGTTAGTGCCATCATCTGGATCTGTCCCCTTGATTGGCTCAGATTTCCTTACAGCTGAGATAGATTGAGGAGATGAAACACAGTGCACTTCTTTTGCTTTCAAATGACAAATGTCTGTGGCTTTGTGTTACTCTGTGTGTTTTAACAGTCTGTGCCCTTGTCAGACTGTGGCTTAAACTTTAAGTTCTAGCCATTGCATGGCAAAACTGAGCTGAAGGCTTTCTGTGGTACCTCCTCCAAATCCAGGGGACAGGTATCAGCTGTATGTCTCTCTGTTCTGCAGATGGCTCAGCTAGTCTTGTGCTCCTTTCCTCGGCTGCTTTGTACTCAGTTATTGTTTATGGGCTGTGATGATTGCTTGTTATTGTGTTAACAACTTCCTTGATGATGGCAATATCAGGCAAGTAAACTTCAGTGTTTAAGACCTGTTTGAAAATCATCTGTAGTTGTGCAGTCTCTGCAGCTTTTTTCTGCTTTAGAGTTATACAACTGTTCCTTGTGGAACTAGTCAGCAGGGCACAGCAGTGAGAATTGTCCATCTCAACTGTTTGTTGAAGGCTTGTATGAAAGCAAACCTTACACATAACACAGCTGTTTTGTGATTCCTTCATGCTAAAATGACAGGGCTTTAAAAATACATTGCTGATTCACTGAAAGGAGGGAATGCTGTTTTTAGAATTCAGAACTGGAAATGTGAGTCTTAGCCTGCCTGGCAGAAACAGGTTTCTTAACAGCTGCTCCTTTTCACTGCCTCATCATCTTTGTATGAAATCAAGCGTCTCAGCCTTAAATTTGATCTAAAGGTGTATGCCATTTGAAAGAACAGAAAAGGATGTCTGTGTAGACAGCGATATTTAATGAAGACAATTTTTTGAATGTGACATTGTTTTGTGTTGCAAGGCATCCTTTCTTCCCCAACCAGTACAATTTCAGCTGAGCCTTATTAAGTAATAAAGTTCAGATCGTGTAATGACTTCTTTGTTTTTTTGTACTAAAACAAGGTTCATAGGCTTAAGAAAAAAATGCTGTTTCACAAAATCATCAATGTGCTCCTTATTGCTGTCGTAACAGCATGCCAATTCCAGTACGTGATCTTTAATCTGCAAGTGACTTCTTTTCTGTTTGTTTTCAGAGGTTGCATGATACTAAACAAAAAGGAGCTATCTTTCTGGTTTGTGGTTAGTAGCCTGCTAATTTGACACAGGAATCTGGCATTTAGAGTAAGCTTAGCTGGTGCTAGGTCAGATTCCTGAGACTTTCAGAATTATGCCTATGAGCCTCAGGCGTGTAGTGAGGTGTGAGCCTCCCCACTACTTCAGCAGAGGTCAGGAGACCATGGGACTGTTTGTGTTCTGAGCCACTAGAATGAAAAAAAGCATGGAATGGACTTGGTCATATGTGACTCTTCTATCACTATTCCTAGGAAAAAGCCCCATGCTGTAAAATCTTTTATAACTGTTTCTGTCCTTTGGCAAGAGAAACCAAAGTGATTATTCTTGCTGGTCTGTTCTAGGTGATGTCAGGGGCTCCACATGCACCAGTAATATTTCCTACAGTGTTTTGCAGTATGTTGGCAGTCTGGGGAATGTTATTGTAGAGCTGGCAGCTGTGATCATTTTATGCGCTGTGTCATCTAAATGGCTTCAAAATCTCTCTTAATGCTGCTGTACTGGTAGTCTATTTGTGCTACCAGCGTTATGCTGATATTAGTGGAAAAGCTGAACCTTTCATAGCTGTTGTTAACCCATTAATGTGTATAGGACCAAGAACAGCTTGGTATCTCAATTTAGGTGGAATTGCAACTCTCCACTGCCGAGGAAATGAAACTGTGCTTGCCAGTATTTGTGATAATCTGACAAGTAATGTAACCTTCCTTCACATCTGACCTATGTTCAACAGCCTTTGTAAAGCATGATTGTATGATTTTTACCCTAACAAAGGTAGTTGTCTGTGAAGCAGGAAGTCAGGAAATCCCTGTGGGATTTGAGAAAATTGACTGAACCATGGTTACGCACATAGTGGCTGTTTGTTTGTACATTCTGTGACTGTTTCATTCACAGGAAAGATGCTGAGTTTATTCATGCTGCCAATACCACCAGCACAAGGAGTTTGGCAAGTGTGTTTCATTTCTGTTTGTGTCTTTGTCTAGGCAGTGACTCCTACTCAGCACTCGATGGTTGCTTCTGTGAGGCACCCTTGAACACCAGAATGCTAGGGATGAGCATTTCAGTTTGGAAGTCAAAATGAAGTCCAGACACCATGACTGCTAATGAAGAAAGTATGCTGGAGAAGTTACGTGTGTCCTAAAGAACAGAAGGTTATCTAAGGTGTTATCATTTGTTCCTGATGTATATTCCTCACTGAATGTCTGTGTTACCTCACCTGACTGACTCCAGTGAGCGCGATGAACAGAAGGAAGGAATCCGTGATAGCCTGCTCTTCAAGGCATGGGGCAAACAAGCCTGCTGCGCCTTTTTTGCTGGCCTGTGTTGTTTTCTTGTCAGCTAGATGAAAGTAATGAAGGATTTTGCTTCCTTCTGAGCATCTTGATTGGAGCATTCATGATTCCATTTCATTTTCTGTTAGCAATGGACAGCTATGCAATGAGATTTCACTATAGTGTT